TCTCCGAAGAGAATTTTTTTGATGGAATAGGTTTTGTACTTTTTTGTCCTAATGATGTAATTATTTAATTATTTTCTAATTTATAATTAGCAGTAATATTTTCACTAAGTCTTCCTATGAATCCTTTGCAAATTAATAAATTATCTTTATCATTTTTCATTTGATATCCTTTACTCTTTATTCATATTTTAATGCCTTTATAATTTTTTTTTTGTTATTACTAAATAATTAGCATAAAATATGCTATTCTTCCTTTATTATTCATATCTAATTCTGTACTTCATAGTAATCTTTGTTCTATGTCTATGAATCTGCTATCATATAAATAGATTAATACTTGGGAAAATTGCAGCCAAGGTACCAAACCTTTCGTTTGTTAGCAAACTTTGCCCAAACCTTTAGTTTGTGCCACCGGAGGTAACAAACCTTTCAAAAATATGCACCGGAGGTTCAAATGGACGAAAATCGTCCGTTTGACCGTTAGTTGACCAAGAAAAGTAAATTTTGACCTATTTTGACTAAATTGGAAAGGGTAAAATGGTAATTTGATAATTATCATATTAAATAAATTGAAAAAAAAAAATCAAAAAAATAAAGAAAAAATTAAGAAAATTAAGAAAATGGTTGTCTTCTTCACCCCCACCCACTCCACCCTCACCCCTAAACTAGCCACTAGCAGGTCCAACAATGTAAGAAAACCATTTTCTTACAAGAAACCTATATTGAAAGTTGATTCCATTACCCAAATTTCATTATACTTTTTGTCAGTGAAAATGGTCCAAATTCCAAATTAGCCCAAATCTCTTCCCTCATCCTCCCCAGATTTCTGCAGATAGTGAGCCATTGGATCCAATTGGAAAAAAACAAACACCATAGCCGATTTCTTTCTTACTAAACCCAAACCAAAGACTGTCGCCACCGATTAGCGGATTTATTTCCTGACGTCGTCTAGGCTCCTTCCAGCATTTGAGGACTGAGGTAAATAGAGTTTTTTATTTTATTTTTATGTTTATTTGAGGACTGAGCTAACTGGGCAGGAGCCAGTGGGGTGGGGTGCGATGGGGTGGGGAGGTTGAAGAAGAAGGCGGCTGTTTAATTTCTGTTTTTTGTTTTGGATGGGGTGGGGTAGGGTGCGTGCGGGTGGGGGTGGGATGGGTGAAGAAGAAGATGAATAGTAATTTTTTTTAATGTTTTAGTTATTTATTTTAATTATTTTATTATAGAGTTAAGTAACTTTTAAAAGTAAATTTTGACCTATTTTGACTAAATTGGAAAGGGTAAAATGGTAATTTGATAATTATCATATTAAATAAATTGAAAAAAAAAAATCAAAAAAATAAAGAAAAAATTAAGAAAATTAAGAAAATGGTTGTCTTCTTCACCCCCACCCACTCCACCCTCACCCCTAAACTAGCCACTAGCAGGTCCAACAATGTAAGAAAACCATTTTCTTACAAGAAACATATATTGAAAGTTGATTCCACTACCCAAATTTCATTATACTTTTTGTCAGTGAAAATGGTCCAAATTCCAAATTAGCCCAAATCTCTTCCCTCATCCTCCCCAGATTTCTGCAGATAGTGAGCCATTGGATCCAATTGGAAAAAAACAAACACCATAGCCGATTTCTTTCTTACTAAACCCAAACCAAAGACTGTCGCCACCGATTAGCGGATTTATTTCCTGACGTCGTCTAGGCTCCTTCCAGCATTTGAGGACTGAGGTAAATAGAGTTTTTTATTTTATTTTTATGTTTATTTGAGGACTGAGCTAACTGGGCAGGAGCCAGTGGGGTGGGGTGCGATGGGGTGGGGAGGTTGAAGAAGAAGGCGGCTGTTTAATTTCTGTTTTTTGTTTTGGATGGGGTAGGATAGGGTGTGTGCGGGTGGGGGTGGGATGGGTGAAGAAGAAGATGAATAGTAATTTTTTTTAATGATTTAGTTATTTATTTTAATTATTTTATTATAGGGTTAAGTAACTTTTACCTTTTTACCCTTTCCAATTTAGTCAAAATATGTCAAAATTTACTTTTCTTGGTCAACTAACGGTCAAGCGGACGGTTTCCGTCCATTTGAACCTCCGGTGCATATTTTTGAAAGGTTTGGTACCTTCGGTGGCACAAACTAAAGGTTTGGGCAAAGTCTGCTAATAAACGAAAGGTTTGGTACCTTGGCTGCAATTTTCCCTTAATACTTTTAACTCCTAAATTTTCTCTATGAAGTCATCTTACTCCTATTATTATCAGTTCTAAATGAGTCTGTTGAAAATTTTTATTAACAATTTCTTTATAAGATTCTTTTTTTTATTAAATATAAGGATATAAATTGATCTTCATGCGTACAAGAAACATATCATTCACCATAATGTTGATATATTAAAGATTTGCTAAACATATTTCCTTTTTTATATAAGTCTAAAACTTTTACTAATTTTAGTTTATTTTGTCTAAATGTTTCTATTTGTTCATCTATGTCTATTAGGGATTCTGATCTTGTTTCGAATTCCATTTTTTTACTTAATGTCCTTAGTAGGGGATTACCTATTAATATACTACTACTTGCTATATTTTACTTTCCTTTATCCATTACATATAAATCCACTTAATCTTCTAAAATTTACTAGGTTCTTTAGCTTTACTAAATCTATTTTTCTAGTTTATTTATTATATTATTTAAATATTGTCTATTATCTATTTTTTTCCTCTAATGCTTTAACTTTACTTTCCAATTTTTCTAAGTTACGATTAGTATCTATTTCCCATATATTATTAAGTTTTCTTTTTAATATTTCGGTATTTTGGTTTTAATATATTCTAAATTAGTTTCAAAAGTCTTTATATTTTTATTTATATTTTCTAACAAAATTTCTAATTTTTTTTTGTTTAAACTGTTCATTTCTATTTTTTCTCCTAAATTTACGAGTAAATCTACAAGATTGACGACGTGGCTGCAACTTTCCAATATTAAAAAGAAAACTACCAATACATATTTTGCCTAGAATTAAGCTAGTTGTGTACAATTAGTTTGATACTTTCGATGTGTCAAAATTCAAATCATTGATTTGAATAAGGATTGTTAAAATCAATGGTAAAACTATAAACTGTGTCAAAATATAAATAAAGTTATGAATCATGATTAAGTATGGCAAAACTCTTTTGGATAAGCCATTTTTCTTGACTACTATCAAGAAAAAAATCTTCCAGTGTTGAAATGTGACAATGTAGGAACTAGATGGTCCACCTCTGTGAACTCCATTTATTGTGCCATGTGAACGTTTCCCTAGAGACTGCTCTATGCCCAACATGATAACGGACTACAATGTCTCGCAAATTTACTTATTTTATCGAATATAAATTTTTAAACTTTTGTTACGTAAAAATCATTTTCATAGATAAACAACTTTTAAAAACAACAAGAGTATTTCATCTTGACTCATGAATAGGTTTTAGCTTTTTCAACTGGTCGAACCTATCCATAAAAATATGAGAGCAGTTAGACCCTTAGTAAGCCCCCGTTTGTTTCCCATTAATTACACATTAAAATGAAAAATATGATGGTTATCCATCACATCATATCACAATATTTGACTTTCTATCTTTTGTGTGGGATCCGTAACAATTATATTTTTCATTCTCATTTTTATATTAGTGTGTACCAACTGGGCCTAAGCTGAGTGAGAATAAACTAACATTTTTTTATATTTTATTTTCAAAATTAGTTTTAAAATAAATAAAATTTAACTTTTGTACATAGGTGGTCTTGGACCATAAACCTCTACACAAGTCCAAGTGGTGTGGTCTCAAGCCTTGGCAGCTAGGTGCACATTTATTTTTCTAGTTTCGAATCATCCGTATAGTATTAATTCACGTGTAGATGCTTAGTTACATGCTGAAAATATGATCCTCCACGAATTTACACAAATTGAGCAATTCAAACCATTTAAAAGCCCGTCCTAATTGAATGGTGCTAAAAAATATGTCATTTCGTATGTGAGTCTAGCCACATATTTTTTTTTTTTTTTTTTTTTTTAACAAGGTGTCCGGGCTTGCGTCCGACTAGATCCTTGTCCCTGAACCTCCGGCTCCTCAGCAGCTCAGGGAGGTAAATCGCAGGATGTGCCCTTGTTGGCTCCCAGGTTCCCACAACTCATTTGGACTCCTTCCGCAAAGAGAGCTCTCCTCACTGAGCGTTTGTTCACACCAATGACTTCCTCTCCATATGGCTCCCAGTGTTAACTCTAGGAATCGAACTCCCCACCCTTGCTTCCAGCGTCCCAGCGAAGTGATTGTTCCACCAACTCGAATGTGTCCTGGGGGGCTTCTAGCCACATATCTTCTTTACACAACTGGTGCGTCATCACAAATGACTAACATTGAAAAATTGTGTGACAAATTATTGGGCACTCACATAACATTATCTAGGAAATCTTGCTTTTGACATTATGTCCCGTTGTAATAATCTCAAGATCATATGAATCCACTTCGAAAGTGGAACACAACTTCAATTCACTTTGGCAATTTTATACTAATGTATCTTTTAATTTGAGGAATTTCCTTTATTTTTTCTTGCTTAACATAAATATATTTTGCCCTTTGATTTTGTGATTGTCATCAACAATGAAATGAATAATTTTTAAAGTGTGTGAGGTGTCACACTTTTTTATCCCTTGATTTTGATGACACTTAAAATAATTCATGTTACCAATTTTTACACCTCATATAATGCTAACATTAATGTATATGTGAAATGTACAAATAACATTTTCCTTTGAATAAATATTTTCCAAATAATTATTATAACAAGGATTGGTCAATAGAATTGGGATTCTGGTTGCACGATTCTGAATAAATTCGGGACTTCCTGAAAATTTGTAAAAATGCTAGGTTAATTCGAAAAATGCCAGGGCCCACCATTGTTATTTATCAGTTTCACTTTGGCCTTTACCATGTTCATTGACCCCACCATGTTGAATAATTGAATCCAACGACCACTAGACGACTTTCATATGTACCAGTCAATTTCACTTGCATTCATCTCTCTAGTCTCTTGCTTCCTATCTTACAAAAAAGATAACAATGGCTATGGTCGAAGCTTTTGTTGGTGCAATTGTCGATGGTTTGGTTGAGAAGCTGGCCTCCGGTGAGCTGCTGAAATTTCTGAATCGTGTCGGAATCGACGCCCAGCTGGAAGAATGGAAGACAACTTTGAAGAGTTTCCAGGCCGTGCATACTGATGCTGAAAACAAGCAAACAGCAAACGTAGCTGTGAAACAGTGGCTGAACGATCTGGAAAATTTGGCTTATGATCTTGAAGATTTAGTGGATGAGTTGAATACTGAAGCTTTGAAGCGCAAATTAAGGGCAAATAAAGGCAGAATCGGTTTGATAAAAAGGATGAAATTATGGTGCGATGATATCATGCTTGATGGCACGTTTGATTCTAAGCTAAGAGTGTTTAGTGGCCGGTTGAAAGCTCTATCCAAACAGAAAAAAATGCTCAGTTTGGAGAAGAATGTGAAGAAGGGGCGTTATGAAAGATTGCCAACAACGTCGCTTGTCGTAGAATCCGAAGTTTATGGAAGAGAGGAAGACAGAGAGAAAATACTCGAAATCTTATTGGGTGTTGAATCAAATGGTAGTCCAATATCTGTGATTCCAATTGTGGGCATGGGAGGTGTCGGCAAAACAACTCTTGTCCAACTTGTGTATAATGATGAAAGATTGAAGGACAAGTTTGATCTGAAGGCATGGGCCTGTGTTTCCCAGGAATTTGATGCTATAAAATTAACGAAAAACATTCTGGAAGCAGTTTCTTCTGGTGGAATGTGTGATTCTGAAAATTTTGACATGCTTCAGGTCAAACTCAAGGAAAGACTTTCAAACAAGAAGTTTCTATTAGTTTTGGATGATATTTGGCATGAAAAATATGGAGATTGGGACACTCTACGCCGCCCTTTTCTTGCTGGAAAACCTGGAAGCAAAATCATCATTACAACTCGGCAAGAAAGAGTGGCCAAAATCATGTCTGAAATTCCAGCATACCATTTGAGCCTGTTATCAGATGGCGATGCTTTATCATTGTTAGGTCAACATGCATTTAGAGCTAAAACTTTTGACGGTCATTCAGATTTATTAGAGATTGGTAAGTCTGTGGTAAGAATATGTAAGAACTTGCCCCTGGCAGTGAAGGCTCTTGGGGGGCTTCTTCGCATGGCAGATGGTCCTGAAGAATGGAAGGAGGTGTTGAAAAGTGAGATCTGGATGGATGAAGAAAAGAGTGAAATTCTTCCTGCTCTAAAACTGAGTTATCACTATCTTCCTCCGGAATTGAAAAGATGCTTTGCTTACTGTGCTCTCTTTCCTAAGGACTATGTGTTTGAAAAATTCCATCTAGTGCAATTTTGGATGGCGGAAGGTCTTGTGCAGGAATCAAAGAAAAATATGTTAATTGAGGAAGTAGGCAGTCAATATTTTGATGAACTGTTGGCTAGATCATTCTTCCAACAATCAGGTGACAATCCATCATGCTTTGTGATGCACGACCTCTATAATGATCTAGCTATGTCTGTTGCTGGTGATAAATGTTTAAGGATGGATGATGCGCTGAAGGAAAGTCTTCCAAGTGAGATTTCTGAAAAGGTTCGTCACTTGTCATTCATGAGCAGTAAGTTTGAAACTTACCCTAGATTTAATTTTCTCGATAAATTTCAAAAATTGAGAACTTTTTTGCCACTTCCCAATGAAATTAAGTATCCACGTTACATATCACAAGGAATTTTGCTTCAAATATTACCAAAGTTGCACTGCTTGAGACTGCTATCCTTGAATGGTTACGAGTTATATGAGTTGCCAGATTCTATTGGTGATTTAAAACATTTACGATACCTATCCCTTGCTCAAACTTCACTGAAGTGGTTGCCTGAATCTGTGGGGACGCTTATCAACTTACAAGCGATGATTCTACGAGGTTGTCGAAAACTTACCAAATTGCCCACAAGCATGGAAAATCTTATTAATCTTCGGCATCTGGACATTTCTGATACTGATGAATTACATGAGATGCCTCAAGGAATTGCTCAGCTAACAAGTTTGCGAACATTAACTAAGATGACTGCAAGTAAAACTGACGGAATGAGGTTAAAGGACTTGGGCAATCTATCATTTCTACATGGTCAAATTTCTATTGAGGAATTGCAAAATGTTGTGAATGTTCAAGAAGCATTGGATGCGAGGCTAATGGATAAGCCAGGCCTTAACAAAATAAGGTTGGAATGGAGCAAAGTCTTCGATGATTCCCGGAATAGATTTTTTGAATCGGATGTTCTTAATGCATTGAAGCACCACGAAAGCTTATCAACACTTGAAATTCAGTATTTCGAGGGTGGAAATTTCCCTAATTGGATTGGAGATTCAGCATTCTCTAATTTAGCGAAGATAAGCTTCGAATTTTGTAAAAAATGCACGACTTTGCCACCATTAGCGCAACTACCTTTGCTAAGAGACTTGAGTATTCGAGGCATTGATCAAGTAAAAGTGATTGGAGCTGAATTTTATGGAAATAGAGGCCGAGAATTACCTTTTCCATCGCTCATTAGTCTGACTTTTGAGGACATGTCTAATTGGGAGGAATGGCTTGGAGTAGGAGGTGTTATTGAACTTCCTAAGCTACGCACATTGAATATGAGTCGTTGTTCAAAATTGGTCAGTCTTCCAAATCTTTTACTGCCATCCCTACGTGAATTAAGGGCTACAGAGTGTAAAGAGGTAGTCCTAAATCATATGCAGAATTTGGAATCTTTAATCAAAATAGTATTGAAGGAGATTTTTGGATTAACTTCAATTATCAAAGCATTTGTACAGTTTCCTTTTACACTCAAAAGTCTTTCAGTTGATAAATGTAACGACCTTGTGACTCTATGGCCAAGTAATAACACTGCACGAAACCTAGTCAACCTACGAGAGGTGTATATTGAAAATTGTCCAAAGCTATTTTCCCTTCAAGAGATTGATGTTCTTCGTGATCTTAGGAGTCTTGAGATAAGAGAGTGTGGAGCTCTGGAGTTGTTGCCTAATAAAGTATCTTGTCTTGAGTGGTTGAAAATTCAAAATTGTCCATCATTAAAGACGATGATGAAGCTACAGGATTGCAGCACTTCGCTCTATTATCTGAGTATTGATAGTTGGGTGAATTCGACAAATTTACTAGGCTCTGGCTCCAATTACCCATATCTCACTTTCCTAATCATAGATAATTGTGATGGTCTAGAGTTGTTTCCCCATGGATTCCTGCCCACACCAAATTTAAGAAATCTAAGTATTTTTGATTGTAAACATCTCAAGTCTTTACCCGATCGGATGGAACTACTTACATCTCTTTCGTCCATGGTGGTGGTTAATTGTGCTTCGTTAATGGAACTCTTCCCCCAAGAGAGTATTCCCCCTAATCTATCTGAGCTGCATGCCACATATTGCGGGAACCTAAAGCCCCTGAGGGAGTGGGGCCTGCACAAACTCACCTCTCTTAATTACTTCGGATTTGGTGGACGTCCGGGGCTGGAATCCTTCACTAACAATGCTGACGAAGAGCACTGTGTGCTTCCCCCGTCTCTAATTAAGATGTGGTTGACTGACCTGCCGGATCTGGAAACCTTATCAAAGGGCTTCCAGAACCTCACCTCTCTTCAACGATTAGATATCTACGGATGTCCAAAGCTTGGGGCATTGCCTATGGAAGACCAGCTTCGAAAGCTTTCGCGCCTTCGCATTGAAAACTGCCCACTTATTAAGAAACGGTGTTTGAAGCCCAAAGGAGACTACTGGCCCATCATTAAAGACATTCCCGACGTGAAAATTGATCGACTTTCCATCCACGATCCATGTCCCTGAATTCAGTTACACGAGGTAACAGATTTAATTTGATACCTATGAATCTCAACATCATTTCATGCAGAACACTTTTCGACATATCTGTCAATTTTGTTTTCAAATCAGAATGTGAATTTTCTGCAACAGATAGTGAATCTACACTTCTGCAGTAGCTATTCAAGTGTTCATGCTACTCTGTATCTTATATTTATGCATCTGCTCTGCAGTATAAATCAATATCAGAGCCGATGTACAAATCAAGTAATTGATCGGCTATGGCGCTAAAATCAGCCTCTCTTTGTATTAACAGTAAAGTTCTATCAAGTAGATAAAATCTGAGGGATAGTTGTTTGTCCAATGTGGTTAAATTATTAATATTTTGCTTCGTTCTGCTTTAGCAAACTGGAAATGCATTGATTCGACTTACTATTTGTTTATGCATTTTTAGATTGGAAGTTCCTACACCATTTGAATGGAACAAATAAAAATGGCATCGTTTTGGTGTAGGGATTTTCTGATACTGGTAAGAACAAAAGCTGGAATGAAGGCGTCTCTTCTTCAAGTAAGTTTTTTTCTTCGATTTACTTTCATTTGCACTTAAGTGTTTGTATAAATGCCTCAGTGAAATTATATGGCAGGATCTGTAACCGAACCTATGTTCAGATGTGAACATTTTCTTGCCTTATTTATTTCATGATTTTAGTAATATTTTCTGATTAAATCTCAGAATGAACATTTCCTTTTGGGGTTCCCTTCTGTAACGGACAAAAAATCTGTTTAGTCTGTGAAAATTGTCTTGACTGGCCAACAATCCTTTCTCATGTGATTTTGGTGTGGTTTAAGGTACGAGGTACCATGTTTTAGAATTGCTATTTTATAAATTTTCTTGATTTTATAGAATAATCTCCTCCGATTGTGTATTATATATCTATTTGTCTGAATGTTAGCTCACTAATATAGTTTTTGACTGTAGACAGTTATCAGTAATTTGGACTCTCACCTCCAACTTTAAAGCAGCCAACTTCGTAATGTATTTCTTGATTGTAAAACAGAATATTGATTTTTCACAATGTTCCCCCCCGCCCCCTTTTATTCAATTTCCTTTTAATTTGGGCTCTATTTTGACGTTCTTTGCTATGTACCTTGGGTTTTGGGATGATTTGAAGCTATAGGATTACAGCGACTTCATCCGTATGAATGGGACGTTTTAATCCAATATGAAGATTTGAATCATTGCTTCACAATTTCTTGCAATTAAATTAAGAAACTGATTGATTTTTTATGTGAATGTTTTTTAATTGAAAACTTTATTCCAATTTGGAAAGTTCTGTCATTGTAAGTTTGAAAACTTTATTCCAATTAGTTGGTATGCATTTTTTTTAATGTTACTAATTCATTCTAATTCATATGGATGCTATTCCTTTGTATGGGACTTTTTTGCTGGTTATGAATTTTGGCTTCTATGAGTTATCGCTTTTGGTGTTTATTAATTCATTTTTTTGTTTTTATCCTTGACTTTCTATAACATAATAAATTGTTGTACTAATTTGTCAAATTCAATTATTCAGTATTCTGTTTTTAAATTTAGTTGATCAAGTAGGTTATTTTTTTTTTTATCCTCATTTGGAATATATGTGCCCAGAATGTTGCTGTGATCATATTGCCTGTCAACAAGAACCATTTGAGTTGAGGATTATAAGATGTTAAGTTAAACCGAACACCCATGATCATATAAATAAAAAAAATAAAATAAAATGCAGCGTGCTTTTTAAAGGCAATATGTGCTGCCAATCATAAAAAAAAAAAAAAATCGAGCCGAATCGGGCCAGTAATGCCAAAACCAAAAAGCTCGGATTGAGCGTCGAATTTTTGATCGAGCTTTTGCTTGTTGATCAGGGCCAAAAAAGCCCGTGTTAATTTTACTCGAGCCGAGCCCGAGCCTAGAGTTTAGGCTAGTAAACCGGCTCAACTCGACTTGTTGACATCCTAAGACCAAACAAGATTATGTTGTATTAAGGGGAAAGAATAAAAATAAAAAATCATGTCTATTTTATTGTCTAGTCTTATTTGATATATTCAATATTGTGAATCTAACAAGACCTTACCGTTTTCATCTTTTTATTTCTCTAGGTATGCAGTTGTGACAGGGGCAAATAAAGGAATAGGGTTTGAGCTATGTAGGCAGTTGGCATGTAAAGGAGTCATTGTGGTTTTGACAGCCAGAGATGAGAAGAGAGGCAATGAAGCTCTAGAAAAGCTCAAAGGCTATGGTCTCTCAGAAAATGCTGTGTTTCATCAACTTGATGTAATGGATCCAACTAGTATTGCTTCCCTTGCCAATTTCATCAAAAACATTTATGGGAAGCTCGATATTTTGGTATGAATTTTTCTTCTTTTTTGAATGTTTTTTATTTTCTAAATTTTGTCTTTTTTTTTTTTTTTTTTTGCCCCATTAAATGACCATTTCTTTGTCAGATTGAGTACAGTGGTTTTTATTGATTTTTCGCTGATGAAAATACTTGAAATTAATTGGACATTTAGCCTCATATTTATTGCTAACTTTTCTGCAGTTTTTGTTGTTTTTTGCAGGCATTTCTATTTCGTTTTTGTTTATCACATTTTGTTTGATACTATAGTTATCTGTGATAAACTTTGCAATGGTGAAATTAGGCTTGCTGTGAGGAAGGCCAAGAAGGAAAAGAAAGCGAATGATCCAAACTGGCCAAAGAGATCTCCAAGTGCTTTCTTTGTTTTCATGTATGCACATTTGCATTTTTTTTTTTTTTTTGTTCTTATATATTACATTTTTTATGCCGTTTGGTAGACTACAACAATAATTTGGTAATCTATCTATGAGAAGCATAATGTTATACACAGTTTAGTTTGAACTGTGATATTGAATTAACTTTTGCTGAACTATTTTTATAGGCTGGAGGGGCTGATGAGTTCGAGGAGTCAAAGTCTGAGGTTAGCGGTGATGAGGACAATGAGAACAGTGGAGACGTAAGTTGAAATTAAGATATACAACTTTTTTGTACTTGAAACTTAGCTACTACGTTGACTTATTAGTTTGTTTTAATTAAAATTTAGGATGAAGACGATGAGTAAGCACCACCACAGAAAACTGGATTTTGGATTTAAGGTGAGACCCAACAATCAATCTTCCTCATTATTTGCATTTATGGCTTCAAATTGTGTAAAATGTTCAATTTAAAAGGGAGTTAATTGGATTGGTAGATTTCATGAAGAATTATCGTGTAAAATTTGGCTTCAGGTGAATTTTACTGAAATTAATTGAAAGTAATTATCAATAATACGATTTTCCTCATTTTCTTTTATTTGTTAAAGTTGCTAATGCGTTTGTTATTCCTTTCAGCGAGGGAACAAGCGTCTCTTTTTGGGCAAAAAAAGAAGAAGAGAGGAAACGCATTCCCTGGTTTTCATTATTGTTACACGACGTATTTAGAGGGAAGGAATGAAGGAAGAGGGGGTTGAGAGTTTGTAGACCACAAGCAAGAGATGGCAGACTACAATAAGAATTTGGTAATTCCATCTATGAAATACTTTATTACAATGCACTACATGCATCTCACATGCGAAGAACTGGTTAAATTCATATCTTGTTAAATTTTAAAGCTTCTTCCTTTTGTGAAATAATTTAAATTAAAAATGTTAACAGAGAAAAACATTAATTTATTAATATCTTCAAAGCATCTCTTATGGTGCAGGTAGATTTAATTTTTCTATAGACATTAAATGTATGACTTTGGTGGGGATGATGTTATTATTCTACAGGCTTTCATCTGGTCGTCCATTCCCAATACAATTGCGAGACTTGATTTGGTTAGAGACTCGTAGCTAATTCATCTACCAGGTCAAGAAAGTTATTAATTGGGTTAGTCGCTGTAAGCTTGTGGGCCAACCACCTATATGCATGCCTGCTTTGCATATATTTTGTTGCAAGTTCCGATCCACGTCAGTTGATGACGTGTTGTTTCCACCAAATTTGACTCGTAAACAGTTTCTGTTATTACAAGAGTTAGAGAAAGAGGCCAATTCAAACCATCATTTGGTGACACTGTTTAAGAGCAATCAAGGAACCAATTTTTGTTGAGTGAAGCAAATGCTATGCTGAAGCAAACAAAAGATAATAACAATTGAGGATGATCAAGTTCACATTTCACTTTTTGTCTTTTCATCCCTATCTCTTTTAGAGTAAAGATCATTTGTAGCATTACGTGGCTACCAAACATTTCGAATACTCAAGGGAACATTGTAGATGTAATTACAAATTCTGCATTATGTAATAAGAGGAATTTTCTTTTTTATTCTAAATAGATTATCAGGTAGGCTGTCATTATTTGCAGAAGTAATAGGCTCTTTATTGTGATGTGCTGTCGCACATGTCAATGTATGTGCACGTGTCTATATATATATATATATATATATATATATATATATTTGTGAAAGACGTGATACTTAAAAATGAGTAATGTTATTTATAAGCGGTCTTTATCTATAAGAGTCTGTAGAAGTAAGGTAACTATCACATTTTCTTATAAATGTGGAATAATGATATTTGTAAGCTGTGCACTGCAAACAACAATCTATGCTTACCTATTAGCAATTTAGCATTCTATGTAGAAGTATTGTAACCGCCACATTTTCTTATATGTTTAGGGTAATGATATTTGTAAGCATCGTACTGGAAAGAACAATCTACATGATAGTGAGATATCTATCTCATTCTCCTATGAAATTGAGTTTGTTTTAGTTTATTGAAGAATGTGGTAGTGACCCCATGGTTACATCATATGTTGGTCATAAGTACTACTGTCATAAACTTAGCATGCATTTTAATTTATCGAAGAATGTTGCAATAATCTACTGTCACATGGACGGTTGATGGATAAGTACTGCTTACAAAGAGTATTATTCCTTAAAAAGGGAAATTTACTTGGAATATGAAGCCAAGTGGACAAAAAGCAGAACTTGCTAAAGAAATTTCATTCTAGCAAATATGATTCCCCTTGATAGACCACATGAAAAATCAAAATTGAGGAACATTCTAACAATATCCCACAAGCAGAAGGAACACAGTCAAAATAAAATTCCTAAGCATTTTTCCCAAGTAAACTTATCGAATAAAGACCCTGTTAAAAATAGCATTTCAAAAATCCATTGAGTCACCATCATCCACCCAAAGATGAGAAATCCAAACTCTAGGCCCAAAAATTCGTCATAAAAAATACGACATTTCTTTTTAACGCAATGAAGAATGTGCAATGTTTTGATAGTTATTAGCATATGTTGTAGTAAGATCTCAAACATTTCTTATTCTTCCATAAACATTGGGTGGCAAAATAGAGACCGAAGGAATCCCATTTTCATTCTAACAAATAAATCAATTTAAGTAGCATAGTCAATATCAGAGTTAGATCAGAGACTCAGCTCAATCATCTACCAGGTTGATAAAGTTGTTAATTGGGTCAGTCGCTATAAGCATGTGGGTGGATCACCTACATGACCCACTTTGTATATATTTTGTGGCAAGCTTCCAATCCACGTCAGTTGATGATGTGTTGTTTATATTAGATTTGATTTGTACGTAGTTTCTGTTATTAAAAGAGTTAATCGGAATAGGCCAAATCAAACTATCATTTAGTGACACATTTTTTAAGAACAATTCAGGAAACAATATTTGATAAGTGAAGTCAACGCTTTGCTGAAGAAAACAAAAAGAGAATGAATATTAAGGATGATCAAGATCATGTTTCACTTCTTGTCCTCCGATCCCTTACCGTTTGAGTAAGGATCATTTGGTACTATCAAGGGCAGATCTAGGATCATAGTTCAATGGGGGTGAGATAGAATTAAGAAACAATAAACAACAAACAAAAGAGAAGGCAAAAGCAACAATAGAAATTTGTCTCAACATTTTTCTTCAATAGAAATTTCCTCAATGCGTGACCTCAAAATTTTCTTCAATAAAAATTTGAGATACTTGTTTAAAATATCTCAACATATCTTCCTGCAAATCAAATGATACTTGCATAAAGAAAAGAGAAGGCAAAAGCACCAGCTTGCATAAACAAAGAGAAGACAAAATATCTCAACATATCTTTAATTTTGCACAACGTGACGTTTATAAATAAGATCCCCCAAAAAAAAAAAAAAAAAACACAGTTTTATGTAGAACAAATAACAAAAGAGAGGATAAATTTGGATGTTGGCATCTTGACAAGTTGCAATAATCAACTTGCCTTCGTATCTAGTTTTAAGGGTTGTACCGTCGACTAGAATTAGGAGTTGCATCGCATTTCAAAATCCTCAAATACATTGTCCAATGGCCATGAAGAAATACTTGAAGCGATTCTTGCCATCCGTCTCGATAAAAAATGTCGATCCAGGATTAGTTCTCTCTATGTTATAGCAATACCTGTCCAATTTAATATAACTATTCTTGATCGAACCCATTAAGTCTCCCAATGCACAATCCTTGACCTTCCAAACTTTTTGATAGCTCATGACCACCTTATGCTCTCGACAAACGTCGTTAATGATGTCTGAAAGTCTATAGATCGTTCGTGGGTCCTGAAACTTGTGCATTATTTGTCGATTAATGAACCATGATCTAGTCTGCCTGTGATAATTTCGACGAATTCAACTTCGTAGGTATGTTCTTGTACATACTTACGAATTACGAATAAAAAATTAGTGTCTATCTTCATTGCTTGCAAGCACCAATGGGAACTATCGTCAACGCAAATACTTGTCTATGTCGGCTTATTTGATTTTTTTCACTTTTAACTCAAAGTTGTATTTCAAAGCAATCCGATGAACACCTTTTTGCAAATCTTTTGTGGTTTCAAACAGTTGCTCGACATACAAATCTTCATCATAGCGTACTACACGTGAATAATTAGAGAATCGTGTATTTGTTCCAACTTGTGAGCTCTCTCGACTCATATCTCCGACAGGATAACGTAATCAAATCCTTATTTGTAAATTTATTTTCATTTTCATTGTCTCCAACCGTCAAGAGAATTCTGTGCATAATAATGAGATCACGGTGAGGAACTTCTGTCTCAGGAATAGGCACATCATCCTTACGAACTATCTCTACTGTGTCCCACAAATTATTCACATTACGATCCCCTCCATCGAAATCTTCATGTTCACTCTTGAGGTTATTCTTCTCCGCTAAAGTTACGAAGATAGGAATCATGCGATTCCGGTTCAATTCCATTAAAACCATCATTTTAGTTTCAGAAGTAACCATTGTAGGCCGAATTGAAATGGAAGCACGCTCGCTGAATAGAAATTCCAATTCGATATCGTACTGAGAGGGATCGATGCCAAGCATGTTCTGTAATTCATGGTACATCTCTGTATATAATGTACTCGATCTTATCACAATTGCAATAGCACCACATCTTTCGCTCGTCCATTTCCATACCCAACATTCATCCTCATTTATTTCAAATTTACCAAAGTAGCAAATCAAAACTGCAGTGGATCCCATATCTGCATAAGGAAAGCATAATTTGTTAAAAAATCATAATTATGGGAAAAAAGGAGGAAAGAAAACATTCTTTTGGCCGGTCGAGCTTGCGAAAAATAGCTGACCGGGCCGACTGGAAAAAGGTCGGTTGTTTCCAATCGGCTGGGTTGGCCAACGATGCCGACTGTTTCCAGCTGGCAGGATCGATTGTTTCCAGCTAGTCTGAACGGCCCTCGTTGACTGGGCTATTTTTAGATTGTTGTTCTTCAAATTTTGTCGAAATAATATTCATGTAGATGAATTTTTTTCCTCGTTTTTGCTTAAAAAAGTTATAGATCCGTGTAAGATTGTAAAAATTTATCTGCCTATGTCGAAATAAGATTTAAATATTTAAACAACACACTAGTTTAAAGAAAAAGAAATTAAAAATTTGTAAATATACTTACCGATTCCCTCTGACAGCTACAAATAATATTTTCTTGTTGAGCCTTTAATGAATTTATGAAATTTCAAGGTTAAGCAAATGAAAAATGAAATAATTTTTATCTGTATTGGAGTAAACATATAAAGAAATTGATTTCGTTTTGAAATTTAAAGTGGAAAGCATTTGGAATTCTTTTTAACGTAAAAGGATATTATTGCAATACCATATATTTGTAATTGTATAAAAATATAAGGATATTTTTTTCTTTTGCTCATTAAGAGGCCTTTTGGGGTGAATTGCCAATGGTTTTTTTGGTCAAAGTAGAAAGAGGCCCGCTAACATGGCCGTTTTGAAAAGTACCCCGTGAATTGGAATTGTAGCCTCGCAAGAACAATTGGAGGAAGGGGGAAGGGTTTGGGCTAATACACAATATTAAGACTTTGTTGGGTTTTCGACTTAAAAGTATCGGCTTGTAAAAAAATAAAATAAAAATCTAAAAGTCCAGTGGGGGCAACTACACCCATTGGACCCTTAATGGGTCTGCCTTGAGTAGTATTATGTGGCTGTCAACCATTTCAAACACTCCAAGGGACATTGTAGATGTAAATTTCTACATTAAATCAAGAAAACAATGTTTAGTCTTGCTTGCTCTTTTTTTCTTCCACCTCTAAAAGAAACATAGTCCATATCATAATTCACCCTTCATAATATAACCAATTATAGAAAAAAAAATAAAAATTTGTAGCTTGTTTAACCATGAACATACCTTTAAAAAAAAAAGGGGGAAAACACACACACACACACACACACACACAAAGTACGCCCCACTAGCTAAAACTAAGTAATGTGCAACTTTTAAAAACAAAACTAACTTGCAACGAACGAACTTCAAAGTAGAGGACAAGTTACCAGGAAACTACAAACAAGAAAATCCCCATTCCGAGATTGCTCCATTATTGACAAAGATTGAGAAAATATCACCTCCCATTCACTTCTCGAGAGTTCACTCTATATCCCATGCATCCATAGGTTTGGAGAAAATCTCCCTAGAATGCCATCTAGCTGAGGATGAATGACTGTTTTAATCACCATTTTGATCACTTCCTTGGGAACCTGTTGTTCCTAACTATTAAAAACTACTTATTCCTTCTACTTTATTAGGAGTGGCTGACACGGCCACCACATTGGAAAAGCTATTCTATTAGTTGCCAAATAAAGTGGCATTTCACGATCCTTTGGAGGACATTGTTCTAAGCTGGGCAAAATTCAAGTTTTCATCTCGTACCACTTTCAACAAAAGCTTTAAGAATATATCTCATTAGAGGCCGCCTCGTAGACTTCGGATTAAGGCAAGACCTAGCAACAAATGCCATTGCCCACATTTCCTAGAGAAGATCCTCGTCTATAATTAATGATGGCTCTAGTCTCCACAATGTTTGTGACTA